AAACTTTTTGTTTCCGATTCACCCTAATGTGCATGCATAGATACTACATATTTTGTATGTTTATCTGAAGTTGTTAGTGCTATTTATTGCAACAGTAGATTTTGTTGCTGTTGAATCTGAAGCTGCTGCCCGTGGCAGTTGGGGCGGCGTGAATGCTGCTGCACACTGCGCAGGATTATAAAATATTATCAGCCTCAGAATGCAAGTCGCTTCAAAGGTGTGTGTGCGCTAAAAAAGGTGGCAAATTCAGCCTGCAACCTGTGTATACAGTGTTTTTTTTCGAAGAGGTTGTGAGGGTGTACTTTGGAGAGTTTCAAGGCACAGCCGGAGTAACAAAAACTTTCTCTCTGAGCGCAATGCTAAATTAAATAATTTACTTATACATATAAACAATAGACATATACATACATATGCAAAGTTGTATATATGTATGTATGTATACAGATTGCTTCGGGAAGCTACTCTAGCGACAGAATAGCGTCGATTTTCCAAAACTTTAAGCTATTTTTGCTCACATAACAATATTTGCTTACCAGTTTTCAAACAACAAAATGCCGAAAATTTCGTGAATATTCAGTTTTGTTAATCTCTAGTATGATTTAAGCGGTTTGGCGCCTTCAAGTATGCCTTTGACAATTAAAAACTGTATTTTTTCACAACTTCACACACTAAGCTCGAAATTTGCTGCCGTCTTTCTCGCCAGCTAACACAACACTAACTTGCCAACCAGCCAGCGAACCAGGAAGGCAGTGAAGCAGTCAGCCGGCAACAGGAATCCCATTCGAAGCGAATAAGGTTGTTCATGTACACATACAACAGAGTTGTGGAAAAGCTTCAGCGCCAACGCCATGTATATGTATGTATGTATTTGTGTACGATTGTGATTTTCTATTGCTGTTGTTTTTATTGTTATTGTGTGCATTTGTATTCAAATAAAATAGGAAAAATTGCTAGCGCAGCAAAGTTGTGAATATTGACGATAGGCGAGTAGGAAGGTGTGGGGTGTGGGGTGGGCGATGTGCTGATGTTGCCGGGGAAAATCCATTTTTTGTATATGCCGAAATGCTAGACATCGGCGACGGCTACAAATATGAATGGTTATGTTGGCGACGGCATTAAGAAACAAGCATGATAAAGTGGCAGGAGTTCTTGGTGGTGGCATACATACATATACATATGTACATACATGCAAACATACAATGTTGGCAGACAATTACTTGGCGCTGGGAGTTGTGAAGGTGGTGGTGGCGGTGGCTGGCGTCGGTTCTAGTTATGGGTTTCTGTGGATGGTAATGATGTCCTCGAGCGACGCACTGGCGACACAGCAAATGACTGATGACTACATATCCTTGCGTGTAGCGGCGCATACATACATACATATGTACACACATATATACATGGGCATAAAATGTTGGCATGAAATATATTTTTTATTTTATTTGAATTCTTGCTTTCGGCTGTTGTTTGTTACATCGTCAAAGCGGAAGCGTACACGACACAAGCGCTGGCAGCGGAAGGCGCAGGATCTACGGTGGGTGGCTGGGGTGGTTGATGGTGGTGATAGCATTTAGACATGCCATATGTACTACACACATACATACAAGTAATAGGAAAAGTGAATTCGCTGCACCGTTTAGACCGGCTTAGTTCAGTTCAAATCACATTTTTTGTTTTTGCTATTAAATAACAACTAATAAACTCTACATACATATGTGTGTTCGTATGTATGAAGATATACATACATATGTACAGCATCGGTCATATCTATAGCACGCCATTTCAAAGTGATATTGTGTGCCACTTATGTTTATTTATTTATTTTTAAGAGTTTTCAATTAAAATATATTTCATTCTCAGACAAACCCCATATAAACCCAGGTTTCATAATTTGTAGAAAACTACAAAAAAGTGCAAAAAATTTTCACCTAAACTTCAAACTTTTTTCTCGGAAGTGTTAATTTTTTTTGAGTATACAATTTTTTAGCCCCTTCAATTCTAGTCTCATAATGTGAAAATTTCAAGTGGCTACGAATTACCGTTCATTTTTTTTTTTGTCGCATATAATGAATAATGGAAGAAATCCGCAACACCTTTGGCGAAAAAAATTCTAAAAAATCAGCGGTAACTTTTAGCCACTTGAAACTTGCGCATTATTAGACTAAAATTGAAGGGGCAAAGACAGTGTACTCAAAAAAAATCCAACACTTCCGAGAAAAAAGTTTGAAATTTAGGTGAAAATTTGTTGCACTTTTTTGTAGTTTTCTACAAATTGTTAAGCTTGGGTTTATATGGGGTTTGTCTGAGAATGAACTATATTTTAATTAAAAATTCTTAAAAATAAATAAATAAACATAAGTGGCACACAATATCACTTTGAAATGGCGTGCTATAGATATGACCGATACTGTATATGTATACGTACAGTGGTCCAAAAAATAAAAGGAGTGCGATATTTTTCCGAGTTTTAAATATATTTATATTTTGTTTCTTTAACGTTTATTAATTTTTGGTTTATAAAAGTATAGCTCACTATGTAACAAAATTCACATAGATCGAAATTTCAAACACTGTGCCAAATATATAGAAATTCATAAAATTTGCAAACTTTTTATTGATATTTTTTAGAAAATTAGATATGCAATTTTATAGCCCATAAATTTTAGTATAACAAAGTGCAAGTTTAAAGTCGCTAAAAAGTGCGTTGATTTTTGGCAATTTTTTTTTGTTGACGGTCCTAGGCACAACTGGTCAAAATATCGCACTCCTATTATTTTGTGGACAACTGTACATAACTTCAATTAACTCCTCAATCCTACATCAATTCATGTAATGTGAGGAAAATTATACATAAGTTGCGAGTAAAACGGTAGAAATGTATTGCATATGTTGAAGGTTGTATATTTATCTTTTCCTAATACACTGCATAAATTTTTGTATTGGTTTTGGAAATAGCAACGCAATCCGGAATGATGATGGTGATAGCAAGGGTAAAGGCTTCTACATCTGCCTCCGCTTGACGTAATTGCTGGCAAGATAGCCATTATTGCAGCCCTAAGACTCGGAGAGGCCGGTTCATTGTGCATCCGGACAATCGAGAATCTAAAAGACGATGGCGTAAAAACTTAAAAATTACCATACCAACTCGAAAATACCGGAATAACAGCCACATGCGAAACGCTATACATGTACCCTGCTGACTCCAAACTCGACGGGAAGGTTAGAGAAGGAGTCTTTTCTTCCCTGAGCTGAACTAGAAATATATTTTCGGTTTATTGACCACTGTACCTTATACCAGGCGGAGGTGCTCGCTCCTGAGCACTCGACACTTAATAAGAGGACCGAAGGAGAAAAGACAGGGCTTTATATATTCTCATAGTGAAGCAGCCGTGAAAGCGCTGGACTCATTCGTGGACAACACAAAATCTCCTACTAAATGCCGCAGATCTTTAAAGGATATGACCCAGCATTATAT